CCTCTGCTGAGGAGTCAGCCCATTTCACAATAAAGTCTGCATGGGAGGAAGCAGCTACAGGCTTGGCAGCAAGGGTCATCCAGTTTCTTTCTAAAAATCAGGAACTACACTGAAACAAACAAGTGGAGGAGCTCAGGTAACAGCTCCAATGAGTAACCTTCTTATTATTTTTTTTCATAAGCACAAATTAAAAGGAGCTTAACACGTGCTGCAGTACCACCATCTCCTGCAGTGCTGTGGGAAAGTATCAGAGCAATGAACTTGAAGAATAAATTAACTAACATGAACTCAAATGAAAGCAACTGCTACTGTGTAAATAGCAAAGTGACGTGAAAAAGGATTTTTAAATTGCCGTGTTTTTTGTTTGTTTACCTTGCCACATCCATGAAACACTGTATGGGTGGTTTTACTGTGAGAAATCAAGCGGCACCTACCCAAACATAGGCTCTGCAGTGTAGCCCCAGCGTGCGGGCTTACGGTGAATTTGAGAAGGCTCTCCCATGCCTGTCATTCCTGCTAAACCCACTGCAACGAAAAGCAACTTTCATACATTAGAGACGCTATTCCTGCCTTTCGTTGAGGAGCCGACTGCCGGGGTACAGTTCAGACTGTAAAGATAAGCACACGGTTCTCCCTGCCCTGCTTAGTTTACAGACTGGGACCCTCGGCCACACGCACTCCCTATTACAAGAGCTCCAGAGAACAGCTCTTTCGGGCCTCAGCACCGCCGCCGTGACAAGCGCAGGCCCCTCCCACCACCTAGCAGGGCACACGCTGGCGCTGGGCAGTCCCGGGCTGGAGCGGACCGCTTTCATTTGGCAAACGGCCCCCGGGCCGCTCCAGCGCGCGGAGCCAGCCCGAATGGCGCGGGCCAAGGCTCCCTGCGCGGAGCACAAGCCTGCTTCCAACCCCGAGCCTTCGCACGGTGACAAAGGAGTCCCCGGGCCGGCCGCGGCCCCTACGCACCCTTTGGTGAGGCGGATGATGTCCCCCGGCTGGATGAGGCTGCCGATCTCGTCCCACACGGAAATGGTGATGCTGCCCGTCTTGTCGGCCACCTTGCAGGACCTCACCTCGTGCCCGTCCTTGGTCTTGGTGACGCGCCCTGCGGGAAGGAAGGGGGGGAAGGAGAGAGGAAGAGAGGGAGGGGAGGAAGCGCGTTGCGGGCACGGCGCGGCCAGGCCGCGGCTCCGCGGGACGTGGGCGGCCCGGGCGGGGCGTGGAGGCCGCCACTTACCGATCTCCAGCACAATAAAGACGACATTTAAGTTTTTCAGTCCGGGTTTTATGTCTTTTATAAAGACGTACGCATCGCTCGCCGCGCTCATGCTGCGGCCGGCGGGGGGGACGGGGCTAGCGGGGGACGGGGCCGTGCCCGCATCCCGCGGGGCGGCGGCGGCAGAGCGGGGCCGGGCGGGGGGCACCGGCAGCCCTCACACGGGACGGGGACACGGGCACCGAGGGGCTGCGAAGTCACTGGGAGGCTCGCTCGACTCCCCCACCGCTCCCTCTCCCCACCGACACAACACACACCGCCCGCCTCCCGCTCCCGCCGGCACTAAGGCGAGCATGTGCTCCGCGCCCCTTTATATACCGATCGGGCACGACCACCCGAGAGGCCGGGCGGGGGGAAGCGCTGCCGAATGGAACCGTCCAGCGCACGCGGAGCGCGGGGACTGGGCGACAGGCGGGCGCGTGCCGGCGCCGCGTGCTGATTGGTCCGCGTGGCCGCCATTTTCCCTTTGCCCGGGCGCTCCCCAAGCGGGCGGGGTTCGGTGGTTTCGCCGCGCTTTCTCTCTGTCGAGCTGGTCTGTCGCAGGGACGGTCGTGCAGCCTGCCGACCGTGGCGGTGCAGCACGGCTGTGTTGGGAAGCGATTCGGCTCCTCCTCAGGCTGTCCTAGTGTCTGGTTGTGACACGGACGTGTCGCGCTACGGAGGGTTCCTGCAAGGCAGCTCCCGGCGTGCTCCGGTCTCCTTCGCTGAGGGAATGGGACGCGTGTGGGAGGGCTGTGCCGCCATTAGGATGGCGTTGGTCTCCACAAAGCGCCGGTGGCTGGTGCGAGGGCTGACGGGCCCCAGTTCTGCAGGACCGGGCTTGCAGCCTTTCTGTGGCAAAGCCACGAGCCTAAATCCTGTCCAGCACCAAAAAAACACCCAAACCTATGAACACACCCTGAACTCTACCAGGTATATTATCTCTCCCTGGTGGAGAGATAATATTCAGCATGGTGACGATCTGAGTCACATTAAGCGATGGCAGCTTCTCAGTCACCAAGGTAGCACCTCAGCCTTCATGGACAGGTTTCTCCCCAAGAGCTGTTCATCCTGTGGAGAGTCCAACGCCTTGCTTGTCTTTGAGCTCATCAAAGTCTTCTGTGGGGGATTCCTGGATGGTAACAGTTCACCTTGCTGTAAAGTGGCCAGTGGTCTGCCAACAGTGGTCAGTGCAGTGCGGTGGGTGAAAGAGCCACTGGCCACTGTTAAGTGCTGTTTGGAAAAACATTAACAGGTCTACAGATAAAAATATTTGTGTCTAACAGAGACACTGTCAGTCTTGGAAACGAGTTTGGTCTGAGCTCTTTCACAAATGACCATTAAAGTTGTTCATGACCACTCTGAAGGTGCTGGCATTATCAGATTCAAGCCATAGCAGGGGTTCTTCAGGAAGAGGGTGGCAAAGCCAGGCAGGGGAGAGACCACCAAGAGAATTTTTCATCCCCTCCTCTGCACTGGCTAAAGGATTTGGAACAGAAATGTCTTACTAAGCTCCTGTGGGCTTTAAGCAAATCATCCTATGGTTCGCACCGCCTTGCTCTCCGATTGTTGCATGCACCACGTGTTTTACACTGAGCACAGAGTTGTACCCAGTGGACTGCTCCAGATAAGCATTGCATGACATTTGCTGGAGCAGAGCTCTGCTGTGGCAGAATGCATGGCCGAGCATTTCGTAACTGCTGTCATCTACGGATTTGAGCTTAAAAGAATAGAATGAGAAAGCCCAAATAGCTAAGTGTGGCTTTGAAAAGGAGCATTAGGATGGAAAGTGCTGCTGTACAGTTTAGGCTGTTCTTTGGCAGGGAGCTACTTGACCTTAGCTTGGTATCAGTATTTCCAGCTGGAGCAACGATAGTTGAAGATGGAAGGGCTGGAAATTCTAATATGTAAATGAGACTGACGATCTGGACTTCTTGGTCCAGCTCCTCTTGTAACAGGCCTTGTCCAGCTGCCATCTGTGCTGGAGAAGGAAGGGACAGCAGGAATTTCATAAGGTTGCTAATCAGCAGCTCCCTTCTGTTTTCCTCGGACCTGCTGGAAGTCTGAGTGCAGTTACAGAGCTGTGCCCACACTGAAGTCTTCAAACAACTGGAAGAAGCCTCCCATTTGCAGGCCCTAGTTGTCGTGAGGGACTTCAACCACCCTCACATCTGAACCTTGGATACAACAGTGCTCAAGCAATCTGGAGGGTTCAAGAGTGCACCAATGACATCTTCGTGGCACAGGTCAAGGAGCTAATGGCAAAAGGTCCTGTCCTGGACATGATTCTTAAAAACAAGGAAGAAGAACTGATCGGGAATGCGAAGGTGGGGTCAGCCTTGGTGGCAGTGACCGTGAGATGACTGAGTTCAGGGTTCTGAGGGAGGGAGCAGGGTGAAAGGCAGGACCGCAACCTTGGTTTCAGAAGAACGAGCTTTGGCCTCTTCAAAGATCCGCTTGTAATACAGTCATGGGGAGAAAAGGTACAGAGTTGCTGGTTTGCATTCACGGATCACTTCCATGCTTAAGATCCATCCCAACAAGTATGAAATCAAGTGAAGACAGCAGGAGGAAGGCAGGCAGGCTTTTCTCAGTAGTGCCCAAAGACAGGACAAGAAGCTCAAACAGACATTTGAGATTTCTTCTTTAATTTTCTGTGAAGGTGGTCAAAAAACTGGAACAAGTTGCCCCGAGAGGATGTTGAGTTTCCATTCATGGAAATATATATTCAAAACCAAGTAGGCATGGTCCTTGGCAACCTGCTGTAGCTCACCTCGCCTGGGAGCAGTTGGACTCGGTCATCTCAAAAGTCTCCACTGACTTAAAATTCTGTGATTTCTGTGAAGAGTTTTCCTGTCTGCCAAGTGCATAAAGCAACACAAAGCTTGACACGACGAGTAAGAAGACAAGGTCACAAACTTCCACTGTATCAGTAAGGGTCCGGGACTGAGTTGGGAAGACAGAACTGGCCATCTTCTCTTTAATTGTCAGGGACATACATGATTTTTCCAGGTCTGTTTTAAGAAAGCGTGAAGATGTCTCTTTCTCCACTTATGAACACTTTTGCTCTCTCTCACAAAGAAACATTTAAAATCTTTCTCATATTTTTTTAATCAACATTCCAGTAGTCAGTCCATGAGAGTGACTTTGATGTTACACAGCAGTGATTGAATGATTCCTATTTGCTGTGAAGGTGACCTGCAAAACAAACCACATTTTATCCTCTGCTTCTTTATGATGTATAAAGAAACCAGAGTTATTATTAATTTATTCTGTTTTTCTGTCATCTTCTTTCCCGCTTTGTTTTTAGGGCTAGCTAGTTGTATCTGCAGGCAGTGAAAGCCCCAGCTTTCTGACCTCCTTGCAGGAGGTGTAGTCAGTTTTCCTCAAAGAGGAGAAGCACAGAGGTCATTAATGCAGGTGCATATTCAGGTACAAGAGCTTCCAGAAGGCTTCCAAATACCCAGGAACAACAAGTAAAATGAAGCCCAGAAGCCATGGCAGCAATATGCAATGGGAAAAGAGAGATGTACTGTCAATATCTACAATTCCTGCAATAATCTGATCTTTAAAAATGTTAATGAGTGCTGGCTGCATGAGTGGGTCACACCAAGAGACAGCACCAAAACTGTGCTTCTGCACTTCACAGGATATCTGGTAAAGTGTGTGGCTGCAGTCAAAGCTGAAGCCTTCCTTCACAGAGGGATTTGAATGTCTCTGTGCCATTCAGCCAGTCTTACCACAATTACCAAATTCAGCCCTTCAGTGGATTCAATGGATTTCTCCTGCAGGGGTTCCACTGATGCATCTAAATTCATTTTCAAGCTCATTTGCTTCCTGAAGATTTCAATTCTGTGTGCAAGATTTGAGCATTTGTAAGCTAAGGTTATAGGGAGCTTTTAATCCAAAACAAAATCAGCGTTAAGTTATTAAAAGATTTCTCAGCAATCTCATATGTAGCAAAAATCCTATGCGTCTCAATAGGGCTATGATTTCACCCTCTGGAGTTATGCCAGCAGAGAAATTGGTCCAACCTTCCTCCCCACACACACAGCCTTTTCTTTCAGTTGATCAGTATTCAGTGCTGCTAGAGTCCCAGAGTAGGTCTTCCTGCAAAAAATCTGCCAGCAAGAGCTGGTGCACAGCGTTCTACAGTACACAGAAGCCCCAAAAAGCTGCCTTTCACCAGCCTTACCTCTGACGTTACCTTACCTCTGACACCTTGAGCACACCGTGTTTGGTCAGAGGGGTCATGATTTCTCTGAGGAAATTCCAGAGGAATTTAGGTTTCTATTTACCCTGTACAGTAGACAAGGAGAGCATAGGACCTAGTGCCTTCTCACCTTTGCCTGAAGATCCAAGGGACGACGTACAACAACTCTCAAAGATTTGAGGCCCCCTAACGTCTCCAGTGAGTCCTATAGCAAAAGGAGACCACATAGCCTTGCTCCTTGATCAGACAGCATACTTACTTTTTTTTACTTAAAAAGCGCAGTTCACACTTTGGCACTGCAGCCATGCCAGAATAACCCCACTGCGTCTATGAGGAACCCAGTCACAAGCACACCCAAACGAGTACAGTAACTCCTGGTGGTTTTTTGTTTTCTGTTAACTGTGTGAAAAGATGCAATCTTCACACCAACAAAAATGTGCAGTGAGCCCTTGAACTAGCCATACTGTCATGGCTGGTTGGCTAGTACAAGAAAGAAATACTTAAAAGTCAGGGAGTTTGAGCAGGACACAGAGCTTTGCACAGGCCTCTCCATTTTCCCTGGAGTGAGATGAGTCACTTGCTTCACATACATGTGGCTCAACATAGGGCAGCCAGCACTGGGAAGCTGCCTGCTGTGGCTCAGAAACCCCTAAATTATCAGCAAGGCAAGCCCCTTTCCATCTGTTGTAGTCAAAGGAGGCAACAGTTCAAAAGGGTTTATGAATGCCTTCTACTTCTCTGCAGGGAGTGACTCCTGCATGAGCAGTCCCATCACATAGTCTGTGGCCTCACCACACGCCCTGAGGACCAGGAGGATCTTGGCTCTTTCTGCCCTGGGAAGGGTTTTCAGTGCTGTTCTCTGCAGACCCACCATACCATGCTGGCTGCCAGCTGGCTCCACATGGGCTGGAAGTTCAACGTTGGCTTGCATCATCTAATGATGGCCTTCAGAAGGGATTTATGATTAGGAAGAAGCCTTTGAAGATTTAATTTGGTTTGGATTTTTTTTTTTTTTTTAAATGGGGATTTGGGTGTTGTTGTTTTGTTTTGTTTTTTTCTGAAGCAGTGCCTGTTTTTTCATGAAAGTTTTTGATATTGATAATATGAACTTATACCTTTCTCAAACCTTAATATAAGCAGCAGAGTGTGTTTTCCTTACAGCAGAGGAAGGAAAATGAATGTATATCTCCTTCCCCATATCAATTCCCTTGGCAGAGAAACCACATCTCAATCTCCCTGCCATGGAGCTGGATGAGGACATTAGGGCACTTATCCTGCCCCAGACAGCCACCACTCTTCCTCTGTGACCTCCCAGCACCGTCCATGTATGATCACTGTCTTCCTAATAAGATCAGGGTTTGCTACTGAGTCAGACTTGGCTGTAACACCTGGTGGAAAAAAGGGAGGCACAATGCTGGGGTGCTGTGCTGAGTCAGTGTGGGAATGCTGGCCCTGCCCTCTGTGCAAGCAGAGCACTATAGTACTGGTGCTGCTGGGGACGTGAGTGTGTAGGCACAGCCTCAGTTGTTCAGCTCTGTGCTAACAGCAAAAAGCAAGTCCTACACGAAATAAACAGATCTCATTGTGGCAAAGTGCTTCATAAATGACTAACTGCCTTCTGCAGACTAATACAGAATCAAGCTGCTCCAGAGTACAGCAAGTTTTTCTTTTTCTCCCTTCTCCCTCTGGCACCCGTAGTTGTAGTCCGAGGTGCACAGCTTTGTGTCAGTGACTAACAAGTGCATAACAGTCACTGCAGGTTCCTCTGTCTTGCATGACAGCACTACTGTTTAGGTGCTCAGAGGAGGACCTAGGATCCATACAGCTGGCCCCAAATGGATCAGCAGATAAAAAGTGTTTTTTTCAGTGTGTCACACCTGCCAACACAGTATGTTTCAACTGCCAGTGGCAACACAAAGTGGTTTTGTACCACAGCTTTTACATTTCCACCTCCATGTTATGACCATATGTAAAATCAATGTTCCAGCCCAGCTGGGATAACAAAGGAAACAATTTCTCCTGAAACCCACACATGAACATGAAATACATGAGTAATACAAATAGTTCTTTCTGATTTATCACTTCTGGGAAAGTACTATTTAAAACAAACCAAGCCAGTTCATGATATTTTAAACCACAAAGAGAAAAAAATATATAGGAAAAAAAAAGTAGGAAAAAAAAGCCTTACTCATAGCAATAAGAGAGGTGTGGGAACCAATTTACTGCAGCTTAGTAGAGTAACACAGCCAGGCTGCTCTGACATTGCACTTATGAGGAAAAGAGCACTCCTGCTCCTGATGACACAGAAACTCCTGCTGTGAAGGCTGTGAAACAGGACATCAGATTGCAAGCTCACGTCATCAGCCACAAAACAGCCAGTTCCTTCCCTCCTGACATCTCACGCCTACCAGCAGGTTAACTTTAAGAAGCCTGATTTAGTTCTTGCTCAAGGCCCCAGGAGCTCCTCTGAGCAGGGCAGACCTGGTGGAGATGGTATTACCTCATGGTCAAGGTGATTTTGCCAAGACTTTGTTCATAAGCCACATGAGGTGTCTTGGTGACTGCAGTTTCACACCAGGGAAGAGGAGCCTGATGCTTTTCTGTTGGGCAAATGGCTATCCAAAGGCATCAAACAGATACCTTCTGTACATTTTCTGTAGCTACATGCTACTGAAGTTATAAATGTGCAAGACAATTCTTTGTATTAAGATATTTCAAGCTTCTTTTGTAATTTCAAAGAAATGGAAGAGCATCAGTCTATATGCTGATGCTAAGTCATCTTCACTATATGCAGATATTGACCTCCACCTGATGTCTGATACATCGAATTCTAAATAGCAGCACGTGAGGGAAACTTGGAGAAGACCCCAGGAGATGCTTAACTGGCCAAGCTTGTGCTGGGCAGGTGACCTCTCCATTGTGCTCTCCCACACGGGGAAGAGAGCTGAGAAAGTACTTACTGACATATAGATGTGTCCATGGGAAGTATCCAGATCGTCCAGTTTATTTACTTCCTGTATGATCATTAGAAGGCACATCATCCTCTCACCCACGCACTCATTTAGTCATCACTCTCTTCTGACTGATCTTTAGTTGCTGTAATTCTGAATTCAGAGAAGAAAGCCAATAACACACAAAAACACAATAACACACTCCAATAAACCCGTAAGTCAGTCAGAGCCTGAGCATCACAAAAAGTCACATGAGAAAAGATATATGATGACATGCATTGAGAATATCTCCACATTCACTGGGATCTCTGTCAATTCGTACAATCAATATGTTCAATATTCTGCCACCAAGTTTGTGAGAAAATCAAGGTCTGAGATGAGGCAGTGCGCCCCACTGAACCTTCCTTGCTGCACCCAGCTGTTCTGGATCCCAGCTAGTCTCTGAGCTCCAGGCTGGAAGAGGCACCTTCCTGGACCTTGCATAGCGAGTCTGGATGCTTCTTCCCACCCCCATCCAACATTGCTTCCCTTTCGGCAAAAGACTGGAAGGAAAACACCCTTCTCTGCATCTTATCTTTAAGCAAGCCACTTCAAACCCCCAGAAACAAACCAGATTTGATGGTTGCTACCCCATCTCAGCTTTGCAGCTTTCCTTAATTAGCAGTGTGCAGAGCAACACATAATTAGCAGTAGATATTGTCTGTTCACAGCTTAGTGATGTGCCAGGAAAGGATGTGGAGAGCTCACGTGGAGCCTGTGTCACACCAGCACTCCGGCCTGTCATTACAGTCAGACTCATGAGCAGGTTTGAGCTCATCAGGTACCAGTTTCCCAACACTTAAGCAGAGACATGCAAGGCACCCAGAGCACTGCTTTGATCAACACTCTGATTTCCTGGGGTTGTAAATGGCAGAGCAGGTAGCTTTCTGCGGACCACCATTCCCCTCACTCCATCGGCGATAAGCATAACACCAGAGTTAATGGTGCCTCAAGCATCTGGAAAAGTGGCAGTGGTAGCTAATGCAAAACACTTGCTTTTTTCAATATAAAAGCCCCCCAGAACTGGTTCTACTGCTATGTACAGCTGTGCTGCATGGCACAGTGCACAGCTGAAGCTAGCATCCAGAGGGTTAATTTTGCTCGGGGAAACATCTTGTCATAAAGAACTGGTCGCTAATCACCAGCCAAGTACTTCAGCTAGTAATTACACGATGTGGGCACACAGAGGGCAGTTTCCCAGCCCTGGCACAGGCTGCAGATGCAGGCCTCTCACATCCCACTGGTGCCATGGCAGCACAGAGGTGTGCACCTCTGCCCTTAACCAGCTCCAGGAAGCACTTGCCATGTGAATTAGCACAAAGCTGCTAAACCACCGTGGCATCAAAATCAGCAACGGCCATAGGCACACAAAACTGAAAAAACTGCAGGAGTGGCTCTTTGTGTGCTAGCTTTCCCTGTTTGAGGCTTTCTCTTTTGACTCTTAAAGCACTCCAGTAACCAGTGCCTGCTACCTGGAAACATCAGAAATCAGATACCTCAGGACATCCTCTGACTCCGTGGCTTACAAAGCAGCCCTCCTCCCTTTCACCTACTGCTTCAGTAAATCCTTTGCTGTTTACCCCCCACCCTGTGTTTATTCTGCAGCCAAAAGGGAAGTTCATCTTCTAGGCCTGTGCTGGCAATCCCTGAAACTGCCAACAGTGAATGTAAACTGCATCTTGACCTCCTGGGTCCACAAAATCCCAGACCATGCTTGGCTTCTTTTCGTTTTTGTAGGATTCCACAGACGCCAAAAGTAATCCTAGTTTACATTAAATACAGGCAGGTCAAAGATCCTCTGCTGATGCTGAGAGTACTACTTGTATGAGTAGGGACTGCTCACAGAAAAAGGATTACTGGTACAAAAAGGGATTAAAGGACCGAAGCTGTCAGACTGTAAGTCTCCCTGTTTGCACTGTCAAGCCTCAAATACACAAGCTGGTCACTGGAGCCAGAGGAGTGCCAGGATGACACTGCCTGGAGCCCACAGCCCCACCTATATCCTCCCAAGGTCAGCCTTGGGCCTTTCGAAATTTATCCTGTTTTGGAGGACACCCAAGACCAATTACATCAGGGCCTGGGGCCCAACATGTGGCCCAGCGTGTTAAGCAGAGCCACGTTGCTGCTTTGGGCAGCTGGGACCAGGCCCTGCCTCCCACCAGATCCGTGATGGGCACCGCTGCACTGCTGAAATCTCTGCAGGCTGGGTGCACCCTTGCGTGCTCTGCCTCTGTGCCGGTTTCCCACTGCCCATACCCATACAGCCTTGAGACAATGACCAGCAGGCTGGCAAGAGCCACTGTACTGGCAAAAGCAGTGAATTGCACGGGGTGGTTAGGAGCAATGAGGAGAGCGTCAGCAGCAAGCACAAAGCAGAGCCTTTTCCCAGTGGCCTCCCGCAGCAGCATTTCCAACCCACACACATTTGCACGCTGCTGTTTGAATGCCTGCAGGTTGCTATGGACAACCAAATGCTGCTGGACCGCCTCACGGAGCAGAGCCCTACCATAGTTTGCATGACGTTAAGGCCTGGCATGTTTGGTGTCCCTGTGAGGGTCCTCATCGCACAAGCTCTTCCTGCTAACTGACTCTCACAAGCCTGGGTGTTCTGGAAAATCACGTCTGTCTTACCTCCACGTGCCTTTTGGATGCAGGCAGCGGTGTTAGCTGCCTTTCAGATGAGGAAAACAGAAGAACATTAACCAACCTGTCCAACATCATGCCAGAAGCCCATGGAGAGCTGTGGAAGACTTTGTCTCCCAGTTCTGCTGGCTGCCTGGCAGTTTCTATCAGGACCAAGACAACTACAAAATTAAATGGGTTTACTCCAATTCTAAGCTGGTGAAAATGCCACTCCGTTGTGTAATCTCACCCCTGCCACAGCTCATCTGTTGCCTTGAGCATAGAAATACACTTTCTTTTGGCCAAAAAATGAGAACGACATTATCAGGTAATGCAGGACAGTTAAGAAATTACAATTTCTGAAATATTCTTTGAGTTGGCACAGAGCGAACATCAAAGAAAAAGACCTCAGAATAGATTTCGTTTATCCTCCTCCATTTAAACGCAATGCATGTCCTCCTCTCCTCCAGCAGATCTGCAAAGAGCCAAGTGATTCATCTTCCTAACAAAACAGACACAGAGAGCACACCTCCCTGATTAATGAAGTTTTCTACCGAGGACTTGGGTACATTGCAGCAGACAATGAGAAATGTGATTACTGCTAATGCAGCATTGACACAAATGTCAATGATGTAAAGCAAGTCATATCTTTTTGAATCAAGGCTCCCTTCCATCATTATTATTTTTGTTTGCTTCTTCCATTTTAATAAGCCGTTGCTCCGTGCATTACCAAAATACTCCCAGGTGAAACCACGTAGGGATGAATTAGTTTTTGTGTAATGCTCCATTAAATAGCAGGCACCTTTAACAAAAAAGGGTGTTGTGTGTTGACGTAGTCCCATTATCATTTAAACACACAATAGTCGAGCCAAAAACTCCATGATGTCTTTCCCTCAGTGATAGCAAATCAGTGTGGGTTTTTTTGTTTGTTTTTTTGTTGTTTGTTTTTAATCAAAATCTAACAGAGCAGGAAGGAGAATAATGTCTCTTTGTCTCCCAGCCTCCCTGGCTTCTTCCCAGCCGCGGATCTCAGGGCTTCCAGCCTGGCTGATGGAAGTGGGTCAATGGAGAAACCACCAGCGAGCACCCAATTACACTCACTGGGATACTGTTAGATTTCCATATCTCCAGGGAGGGATTAGCTCAGCTTTGGACACTTCTCATCTGCTCTCATTCCAGTAAGTAGTAAAGGAATAGGCAAGGATGTGAAAAGGAGCTGAGTTTCCAGAAACTTGGAGAATTGTTAGTGTCATACATGAAAGAATTCAAGTCCTTAAGCTCAGCATAGAAGTTGCATAAGCAATAGCATTTCTTAAAACCAATCTCATTTCTATACAAAAAATGAGAAACAAGTGGCCAGATGGGATCAGGAAGCAGCAGAGAGATAAGTATTGTGATCAAACTGTGAAGTTCTCACTTGGATTTAAACTTTATACTGCTGCTTCAGGAAGTGGGGGCACAGTGCAGGCAAAACAAACACAGGGAACTTACCTGGGGGAGAACTGGAGTGGAAACAGGCAAAACAGAACACGGGCTTCAACAGCTAATTGTTAATGAAACATCAGAAACTTATTGAAAGGAGAAAGTCTGCAGAAGTACTCGTAGCCAACCTAGGCACAGGGGAGAGGATGGCAGAGCAAAGTATGAGGTGTAACAGCACCGTGAGGCAGCTGAGTCATGCCAGTGCATTTGCCCTGCTGCAGGAGGATCGGAACAGAGCACAAACCAATAAATGCAGAAAAAAGTCACAGCACTGGGTGGCTTTCACTGACGTGTGTATTTCTTGTGCTATTGCTAGTTTGCTCACTACTACATCACCAAACTGGGAATGCCTTTGTTGAAAATGAAGCATGCCAGTTGTGGAAAGCTGAACTATTTGAACAAATGGGTGAATTACTCCTGCTGAGAACATCAGCTCAGTTAAAACAACCATCCTCTTCACCTCTCCAGACATTATGGCTGTCTGGCATCCCATGTATGGCATCTCATAAACACGTAGCACCTCCTGGTCAGCAACTACTTAGGTGGCTAGTTCTTCTTCAGCACCTAAGCATTCTGACAAGCTGATGTTATCCCGGATTTATTATTCAGGGATGATAGCATCTTTCAAAAATGAAGAAGCTAGATCACTTATTAGCAGGATCAAAAGAGTGAAAATGATGCGTTCATCTCAGAAAATGCACGTGGTCAGATTTTGGAGACCCAAGAGTTCAGCATTCAAGGCAAGACATTTGATAGCAAAATCTGCGAAGTTGTTTAAAAACCTCAAAAAGAGTGAGGAACTTTTATGTCATGTAACAAGAGGAAAGGGCATCTTGTAATAAAAGTTAGGAGCCATTTTTACAGTTGTATTGATGGACTCAGACGTAATATAAAGAACACTCTTAACTTACATGCATTGCTGTGCCCTCAAAGTAAAGACATGCAAAACATGAAAATAAGGCAGACATGCAACAGAAAACTGGTGATAACTTCTCCGTGGGCTGAAGAGAGAAATAAAAAAGAAGATCACATACATGGTGAAAAAGCATGACAAAAATATTTACCCCTCCAATCAACCTAGCACACTATTAGTAAAGCAGGAAAATCTTTCCTAATCTGAAAGGATCTCTTCAGCATTAGGCTCGTGTGCTGTCCCTGCTGCAGGAAGCCTGCAGAGCACTGGCATGCATTTTGTTGGCAGACCGTGTATTGATTGCATCTAGCAAACAGCCCAGACAGGAATGGGATAGCAGCAATGTGTTTCTTGATTACTGCTGCTTGTCAGAACACCTTCAGCTTGCAGCAGCCTGGGCTGCTCTATGCTTTTGGCATGGTTGCTCTTTGTTTAGTGAGAAAATGCCATCTCCTTCATCACAAGATCTCTTTCAGACAAGAGCTCATGGAAGTTATCTGAAACGAGCTCACAAGCATAGGTCTGTGGTGTCTTGTTGCCACAGAATGGTTCCTGGATGGCAGTAGTGACAGACATCACCTGCAGTTGATCCTGAGCTTCCTACTCCTGTTGTGATGCTGAAGTCTGAAGCTGCTGAGCAGGGTACGTGTTCAAAAGCAGCAGCAGAGACTCGGGCTTCTCACCAGAGGGCTCTGGTTTTCCTTGGTGGGAGTGTTGCAGCTGAACATTGTGTTTCAGTGTTACAGCCTCACTAAGGGCTCGACACTTGATATACGTCAGCAGTGTCAGCCCTGACCCCTGCACGAGCCATTGGTGCTTGCACACAGTGACGTGGCAACTTCAACCGGGCGTTGTCAGGGTAAGCACGGATTTCTCTTCCTAGAAACAGCTGAAGAAGCGCTGAAAAGGGGTATTGTTTCTCATATCCACAGTAATCCACTCTAGTTACTCACAGCAATGTCAAAAGTTACTCAGAGAAGTTTCACCCTTGGGAGGGTATCAGTCTTGTAATTAAGGAACGTAACAGACTATCTAGAAAAGGGCTTGCTTTGAGTATGCACAGGTGTTCTCCAGCCCCAGCAAGTCAGAGGACATCACTGTTTTCAACCTCCCGAGCGTTGTGTTATCATATTCCCACTGCACAAAAGCAAAGAAGACCAAGTCCAATGTCCAAACGGTCAGTTACTAGTGTTCTGCATAAAAGATTCAGAGACAAACCATGGTGACACTTGTGAATATAAAATCTGAACAAGAAATACCATCCAGAAAAGCTTTGGGCTATAAAAATAGACAACACGAGTTAAAAACATCCCCTTCCATATACCTGGTTAGGCAGACGTTGCCTGGGCAAGCTAAAGGCAGTCACACTCTGGAGCAAAGGGGCAGCTGAGATGACTTTCCAAATGCCCTCCAGGCCGTTCTCTGCAGACACGCATGTGCACAGCTCAAAGCAGCCGCATCAACCACACGGACTGCAGTGCCTGCTGCTGCACGAGAGCGTGGTTACAGCAGGAGCCTTGGCAGCTCTCTTCTCCAAGGAACAGTCAGTGGGACGTTTGGGGAAGAAAAAAACCAAACAAACAAAAAACACAACGAAGGAAAAACAAACTGAATATCTACAGGAGTGGAACACACAACTGGCTGGGAGAATTTCGGGCTCTCATTAGTAGACCAGGAGTAAACTGTGGCAGAGCTGGAAGTTGCAGTGTGCCCTGCAAACAAGTAGGTCGGACTGCCCTCTACAGTACACAGCCGTTCTGTGCCTGGGACAGCAGGAACACTTTAAAACATAGCCACTTGACGTCCCTTTCAAACCTCGGTGTGAAAGCTTGCTTGGCCACGTTTGTATATCTTTACTTCAGACACTTCTCCAGTACAAAAGAAATGAATGCTCTTTTTCCTTTGCAAAACTACTTCAATGCCCCTCATCAGTACTCACATTTCTAGTAGGGATGTTCTCTGTACTTCCAGTCCTCTAGTCCATATTTAGAGAGTTATTTCTTTAGAATCACCAGAATTGGCCTGAAAATGAAGTCATGGAGCCCTCATTCACCCCGGACCCTGCAAGGCTCCCAGCAGCACGATGAGCATTGCATGCTCACCTGGAAAGCTGTCCCAGCTCACTCTCAGGTATGCAGGAGGGACTCGGCACCTCTCATCCCAGCACTGATCACTTGCAGAGCCTATTTCCAGTGCTGTACAAGTCTGGTGCTTGGTACATATTTACCGAGGCATGGCTTTGTGCCTTGTACCCCACTGTCATTGCCATGGTAGGACTTGCTTTTTTTTCCTCCACAAAAGTCATCCACTGGGACCTGCTTCCTGCACTGAGCACTTCTAACGGCATCACAAATTCTTTTTCCCCAGCACATAGTTTCCCATCCTATTATATTTATGGCTCTGTTTGACTTTTTCTGCCAGCACATTTGTTGAGAAAATAACAGCCCTCAGGGGCAGATATTTCTTATAGTTTGTTCAAGCCTAAAATAATTGTACCAACTTATTAAAAACCCCACTGACAGTATGATACAATAACCTCTGTGATTTATTTATCTTTCAGCAAGCTTTAAAAAAAATGCCCCTGCCTCATTCCAGCTTTACACTGTATAGTCCATCATCAAATGCAGCCCTGTGCTCTGATGTTTATAACACGCTACAACAAGACATTGGGCTTTGAGTTACATTTATTCTACCCTTATCTCGTTGATTTACTAGTTCCTCAAACATTTGCTTCCTTATACTATCTTAATTGAAAATTCCTCCTGCCTCTATTTTCTTTCACTGTTATTCTACAGAGAACCTCGCTCTTCAAGTAGCACTCTCATGCTCTCTTTCCCATTTTCTGCATACAGCACCATGCCTCTTTTTTTTCCTCTCCTATCTCTTTAGCCTTTAAAAAATCCACCTAAGAGATTTCAAGGGCATTAAAAACAACTGGATCCCACAGCACCTTTTTTTTTTTTTTTTTTTTGTCTCCTTGTTTTCATTTTCCCAAGGCAGCTCTGCCATCTGAAGGTGCAAGCAAAACAGTTACTGGAAGTACCAGCATTCTGAAGTACAACTCCTGCATCGTTCTGACAGCTTTGTATGGAAGGCAAAAGGGTTGTTAACTGTGGGTTTGCTTATTTTTTCTGGTAGACATTCCTAGAAACACAGCCAAAAACCTCAGCAGCTCATGCCAGTTTCTGTAGCTGTAGCATGGGCCACCACTGATGTTCTACTTGTGTAGGAAAGTTGATGTTCTACTTGTAAGGAAAATCAGAGCCTGGCCCCACTGTCTGCCCAAAGCAATGCTCTATACACCAGAAATTAAGAAGCTTAGGCTTCCTGTGGCATCAAAGAACTCGTGGTTCCCTCTGCCCTAACAGGCCTCTTACTTCTTAAGAAGTCCATCCTGTCAGAAAGGAATTCACCCCCAGAGAGCAACAGAAAATCTCAGTTTTTTCATTTCTTGCTGTGCACTGAAACACAACTGTATCTTGTCATCCCCCCGTATCCCCCCATTAGATCTAAAGAATGCAAATAATCATGACCACAAATAGGAAAACTTTCCCTAAAGTTACTGTTAATATTCTATCACCTTATCTTTAAATTGTTTTCTGTGGATTATAGAAGTTTATAATTGCAGTTCCCCCCCAGCTTCATTTTATCTGGTACAGTAACATAATCAAAATCCTCCTGCTCTAAACCCTTGATAGCAAATCCTCTTTACAAAGCACTTGTTCCATGTCCTCTCTTATTTTCTCCACTGCTGCTCGTCTTACCAAGCCCAATGTCTGAAAATTGAACAGCAGCGTTGACCATTTTTCCAACAGAGATCATATCTTTTGGATGTTAATGCTGTAAATATATTTCAAAATGCAATCCTGTCTGCAGCAAAATGCCTTGCATTGCCATTGTGTTACTGTAAATGCCATTATTATGAGGGAGTGATTGACTCTGTTAACGTATTGTTCCAATAGTCTGCAGAGATGTACATCTGTAATGCAAGAGTCATTTCCGTGCTTTAATTATAATTTTAATCATCCACAATCTTCAATTTGTTTGCAGTGAGCTAATTATTTTTTTTCCTATCACAAAGCACTGGAATGATGTCGTAGTATAAACCATTTTTTTTTTTATTAAGCAGATTTGCACTCCTGCTGTCTTGCTCCAATAGACCTTCTGGTTCTAAATCTGCCTCTAAAAACTCACAAAACTGTTATTTTCTACCTCCCATCCCCTGCATCTAAGCAGGACATTGGACCAT